CCAGTCTCTTGTCGCAATAGAAGATGGTGGGAACGCCGTGTCCTGCATTTCACACAGTTACACTCGCCCTCTTGTTCAATCCCCGAACGAGATTACTATCTTTTTTTTCGACAAACTTCTTTCTTCACTTTAGGCGAAACAAGAATGTCCGAATCGATATGGCTCGGTTCACGATTCGTTGGTTGCGCCTCGATTCCGTGTTTTCTATCCCTCCACGGTTCAGTTTTACGTCATCGACGATTTTAGAGTGCTTAGGTAATCGAAAAGAAAAAAGAAAAGAGCTACGCGAGTACACAGCAGACGAAGAAAATCTGTCAAGATCGGTATCGACTTGACACGAGGCTGTGCTCTCCATCCATTCGATCCGTGTATCTTCTGGAAAAATTGTTAAAAATCTTACTCGTACGCAGAAACTTTGACGCGCGACGTACGAAAGTCGAATTTAATTTATCTACTTTTTTCGCTTGGAGGGAAATCAAGCCTCCCCTGCCCCGCTCCTCTCGTTGCCAGAGTTTGCCTTCGTACTTTCTCTATCGGTGCCTCTTACCTAATGTTACGCTTCACCCATCTCGCTGGTACGTGCGCTGAGAGAGTTGCCGCTGGCTTGAACCATAAATAGAGAGCAGAACGTGATCGTTGCTCGTAGAAAGTGATCGAATCATTGAATTCGCGAATATTCGTCTGGCTGTCTCTTGCTCGCTTTACCTCACTGGTGGTGAACTTCTCGGAGAGAGAGAGAGAGAGAGAATATGCCAGCCAGTTACGGTGCAAGCGGTGCAAAGTGGGACGAACGTGCTCGTAAAATAGCAACGAATATGTAGCACGGAATATGTAACACACACATACACGTGTGTTGGCCGTGTGTCGCATAAACAAGCATCTGCGTGGACAGTTAATTTGAAATTATTAGAAATTAGAAATTAGAAATTAGGTTGTTATCGGGTCGATTACTCTACACTCTCTGCTCGACTCCGATCGACCTTTATATTACCGATACGTACCAGGCACTTTAAACACGCTAGAAATTTACGCTTTTCGCTTTCGTACGGTGTCTGCTACGCGCTGCTATCCAGTTGCTCCATGCGATTGCATAAGATTCTCGGACTATCGTCAAATTCTTTGCGCGAAAAGCACAATTGTTCACGGTGGTCGGACCCGAGCAATTCGAGATCTCTCGGTGTATTTCCTTCTTCTTCTTCTTCTTCTTCTTCTTCTTTTTCTTCTTCTTTTATAAAAAGTACAAGATAGAAACTGTGTGAAGAATTAATGGCGAGATACAATCGTTTCGATCCTTTCTCATCTACTCATGTTACTATACATAAATATTAACAGTCAATACGTGCCAAACGTATCCTCCTCGAGAGGAGGAGACAAAGTATTTCGACAGCAATACGACACCACCACCGAGAGTATGGTCGAATGGTCCGCGGTTTTTTCTGATTGTTGTTCACCTGGACGCCAGTGGAGACAAATAGAATCTGAATCAGACGGTGACACGAATCTCTCAGGGCATTGGAATCGAGCCGTCTTTCACACATCTTGCTACTACATCTTTGAAAAGCTGGAGCGAGGAGCTGGTTGTGCATAGAGGCGAAACGATGTCATTCCGTTCCCACTTCCATCCTGATAAAATCGATTCACGTACACACGGCTGCAGGTCGTGATATCATACGTACGTAACTACGTACGTTTGAACGAAAGGTCGAATCAGTTTCTACGAAAACGAGCCCC